TCCTCCAGCCATCTTGTTTTCCACACAACTGCAGCCAACCACTCCCATTGGTTTATCTTAGAGCAGTAATTTTTTGGTATTTGTTAAATTTTTTTTAATTAAAAAAAAATTTTTTTTTAGAGTATGAGCAGGGGAGTGGGGCAGAGGGATAAAGAGAATCTTAAGCAGGCTCCATGCTCATAGCACAGAGCCCTGACACAGGGCTTGAGCCCATGACCCTGGGATCATGACCTGAGCCAAAATCAAGAGGTGGACACTCAACCGACTGAGCTACCCAGGCTCCCCTAGACCTAGTAATTTCAAACTTTATTGCTTGTATATTCCTAAAAGAATTTTGAAAAACTATGTATTGTCTTGCACACTTTTTTCTTTTAGAAGTGCAATGCAAACAGAAAAAAAAAGTGTAATGCAAAGCAATCTTAATGTTCTCCCTTAACAAAGGTTCATATATGTCTCTCTCATTTCAATCCACTTGCTCAACTAACCATATTGTTGGTGTCATTTAATTCTTTTCTCTATTTGGCTAAAATAGGGAATCTAAGCCTTGACTTGTACCTTTTCACCTGAACTTACTTGGCTCCGTCAGTGACCAAACCAAGTGGAATCTCTACTCCACATTCAAAATTGCCTCCATTTGTCTTACTCAATTTTTGGGTAAAGACTCTAGTGACAGCAAGATCACAATGCATAAACTACAAGAGGTTTTGCAAGACTTGTACATAAAACTGGATAGCTCCAAAACATTAAAAGAACTACAGTCCTAGGTGCTGTCCAGAGTGCCAGCATCTGTGTGATTAAACAGCTTGGAAATTTTGGAGAATGGCTCTGACTTCAGTCAATGCCTCCCACATTTTAAGTTGACACTTAATATGTTCCTAGGTGTGAGTTCCATTTTGTTAATAAAAAGTATTAAACATCATACAAAATGAAGACTATAAGTGGAAAACTATCTTAAGATTTGATATAACTATGGGAATGCAAGCTGGTGCAGCCACTCTGGAAAACAGTATGGAGGTTCCTCAAAAAAAACAACAACAACAACAACAACAACAACTAAAAACAGAACTACCCGACGACCCAGCAATTGCACTACTAGGTATTTATCCAAGGGATACAAGTGTGCTGTTTTGAAAGGACACTTCCCCCCCCCCATGTTTATAGCAGCACTATCAACAATAGCCAAAGTATGGAAAGAGCCCAAATGTCCATCAATGGATGAATGGATAAAGAACATGTGGTATACATATATACAATGGAGTATTACTTGGCAATCAAAAAGAATGAAATCTTGCCATTTACAACTATGTGGATGGAACTAGAGGGAATTATGCTAAGTGAAATTAGTCAGAGAAAGACAAAAATCATATGACTTCACTCATATGAGGACTTTAAGAGACAAAACAGATGAACATAAGGGAAGGGAAACAAAAATAATATAAAAACAGGGAGGGAGACAAAACAGAAGAGACTCATAAATATGGAGAACAAACAGAGGGTTACTGGAGGGGGTGGGGGAGGGGGGATGGGCCAAATGGGTAAGGGGCACTAAGGAATCTACTCCTGAAATCATTGTTGCACTATATGCTAAGTAATTTGGAAATAAATTTTTTATTTTTTTAAATGTTTATTTTATTTTTTGAGACAGAGAGAGACACAGCATGAGCAGGGAAGGGGCAGAGAGAGAGACAGACACAGAGTGTGAAGCAGGCTCCAGGCTCTGAGCTGTCAGCACAGAGCCTGACGCGGGGCTCGAACTCACGAACTGTGAGATTGTGATCTGAGCCGAAGTCGGACGCTTAACCGACTGAGCCACCCAGGCGCCCCTGGATTTAAATTTTTTTAAAAATTAGATTAAAAAAAAGATTTGATATAACTAAGTTAAATAAATATTTATTTAACTGAATAAATACTGTAAAGTTTCTCCATTTCTATTTTATTCAATACCTCTTAAAAATTTTAGTAGTCCTGGGGTGCCTGGGTGGCTCAGTTGGTTAAGCGTCTGACTTTGGCTCAGGTCATGATCTTGTGGTTTTTGAGTTCGAGCCCCACATCAGGCTCTGTGTTGACAGCTCAGAGCCTGGAGTCTGCTTCAGATTCTGTGTCTATGTCTCGGCCCCTCCCCTGCTCATGCTCTGTGTCTGTCTGTCTCTCAATAATAAATAAACGTTAAAAAATTTTTTTTTTAATTTTAGTAGTCCTGCAAAATAGTCAAGTTGCTTTCAAAAGAATCAAGGTCACTAATTTTATGGTATCTTCTGTTTGGAATTCAGAAGACCCTAACATAGGCCAACATGTCCTGTTTCTAACTGGACTTCAGCCTCAGCAAAAATAAGTATAAAATGAAGAAAGACAGATTTGAGGTGTCTTGATTAATCACTCTAGGGGGCTGCCCAAAAACAAGAATCCAGTTTATTCCTTTGGCACTCAGGAGAATTTCACCCCAGGGTAACGGATCCTAACAAGGTTTCACTTGGGTAAAAGGTAAGCCTTTCTTTTGTAAAATGGACTATTAGTCTTAGGCATATTCATTTTGGGAAAGGGTACCTGTGGAAGCTGAAGAGCTGGAAATTGATTCCCTTAAATGTATCTGTGTAAGGCAGAACTAAAATATATTGTCAGACACCAGGATAGTGTCACTTTTGGTGTGGGGGAAGGGGGTGGGGTGGAGAATATTACCAAAGTCTTGTTGCTTTTATTCCCTGATCATCTCTTTAGTATCTTTATTTCTCTGAATGTCCATGGCTACTACCCTGGACATGCTATTTCTAAATCTTTTTTTTTTAATTAAAAAAAATGCTTATTTATTTTTGAGAGAGAGAGAGAGAGAGAGAGCGAGAGAGAGAGCGAGCACGAGTTGGGGAGGGGCACAGAGAGGGAAACACAGAATCCAAAGCAGGCTCCAGGCTGTGAACTATCAGCACAGATCCTGACATGGGGTTGGAACTCATGAACTGTGAGATCATGACCTGAGCTGAAGTTGGATGTTTAGCTGACTGAGCCACCCAGGCCGCCCCAGCTAGTATTGATATTCTGATTTAATTTCTGAGATTGTACTGTTTCAAAGATTATGATTATTATCAAAATACTAACAAAGAATGTAAAGTGAATACTAGGTAGAAAAATGATTAATTCAAAACAAAGGGAAGAAATAATATAAAAGTAATTTTTATCACAAAACTAACTGCAGTGGGAACTTTATTTTTATTTATTTTTTAAATATTTATTTATTTTGAGAGAGAGAGAAGGAGCATGCAAGTGGGGGAGGGGCAGAGAGAGAGGGAGAGAGAGAATCCCAAGCAGGGTCTACACTCAGCTCAGAGCCCTAGGTGGGCTGGATTTCATCAACTGTTGAGGTCATGACCTGAGCAGAAATCAAGTCAGATACTGACTGAGCCACCCAGATGCCCCTCTAAAAGGAAATTTAAATCTATTTATATGCCAAGTTCAAAAAGATAACTCTATTATAGTACAATATTTGTCACATATATTGCAATTACTTATTCACTTATCTCTTCTACTAGCTTGTGAGCTTTGGAAAAAGGAATTGGGTCTTAATCCATTTTGCATCTTTGGTCTCCAGGATAATGTCTAACACACAATAGGCACTAGATATTTGTTGGATAAATGAATCCATACAATACAGAATATTGCATAGAATATACAACACCTACATATCTTATCATACTTTCTACAATCTATAGCAAACTGTTTAAGCAGTATCCATGAGCTTTCTTTTTTTTTTTTTTCAATTTTTTAACGCTGATTTTTTTATTTTGTGTCTTTATTTTTGAGAGGCAGAGACAGAGCACAAACGGGGGAGGGGCAGAGAGAGAGGGAGACCCAGAATGGAAGCAGGCCCCAAGCTCCGAGCTGTCAGCACAGAGCCTAATGCAGGGCTGGAACCTACAAACTGCAAGGTCATGACCTGAGCCGAGGTCGGACACTCAACCCACTGAGCCACCCAGGCGCCCCTAACATTTATTCATTTTTGAGAGACAGAGAGATAGTGCAAGCAGGGCAGAGGCAGAGAGAGAGGGAGACACAGAATCTGAAGCAGGCTCCAGGCTCTGAGTTGTCAATACAGAGCCCAACCTGGGGCTCAACCCACGAACCGTGAGATGAAGTCAGATACTTAACCGACTGAACCACCTAGACTCAGCCCCTTCATAAGCTTGCTTAAGATTGTCATGATCCTGTCAAGAAAACCATCATCCTAGGGTTCCTAGCTGGCTCAGTTGGAGGAGCATGTGACTCTTGCTGTCCTGTCAGGAGTTGGAGCGCCATGTTGAGTATAGAGATTAGAAATAAAACTTAAAAGGGGCACCTGGGTGGCTCAGTCAGTTAACTGTGGGACTTCAGCTCAGGTCATGATTTCTGGGTTCAGGAGTCTGAGCCCAGCATGGAGCTCTGTGCTGACAGCTCAGAGCCTGGAACCTGCTTGGATTCTGTGTCTCCCTCTCTCTCAGTCCCTCCCCCCGGCTCACACTCTGTGTTTCTCTCTCTCTCAAAAATAAATAAACATAAAAAAAAAAAGAATAAAACTTTTAAAAAACTTACAAAAACCCCTCATCATCTATCAGGTATTTTTTTTTTCAACGTTTTTTTTTTTTTTTTTTTTTTTTATTTATGGGACAGACAGAGACAGAGCATGAGCGGGGGAGGGGCAGAGAGAGAGGGAGACACAGAATCGGAAACAGGCTCCAGGCTCTGAGCCATCAGCCCAGAGCCCGACGCGGGGCTCGAACTCACGGACCGTGAGATCGTGACCTGGCTGAAGTCGGACGCTTAACCGACTGCGCCACCCAGGCGCCCCTATCAGGTATTTTAATGTGCCTTTATAAACTTCTAAACACATTCCTTATGACGCTGTATTTAATAATCGTCTTTGACTTCGAGTACAAAAATTATGTGAGGAACACACAAGAAAAGTCATGACTTCTTTTCTTCTTAGATTTGAGGTTTAAGATGATTCTGTAAGGGAGAAAGAGAATAGAACTAACCTCATTAAAAACGGGAAGTCTCCATACATTAATTTTAGTCTTCCTGATAGCACGGAACTTGCATGTTGCAAATTATCTGCTACGTATCATGCACAGACATCCCAAATCCCGAATTTGGCAGGAGTATCTCTGGAAAATATGGCTGGGAGGGCGTGGGTGTTATGCTTTTCCTCCCAGGGATCAGGCGGAGGCACTAACTAGTCCAGTCATGACAGGACTCAGCATCCTAGCCCAAGAGATCTGACTAAACCTTGGGCCTCTGGCCCGGAGTACGTGGGAGGGGAGTAAGCCCCGGCTCAGTGGGACCCGCAAAATCTCGGGGGCCGAAACACTAGGCCACCCGTTCGGGCTGCTGCTGAGACCGGAAAGGGGCGGGACCTTCCGGTCCCCCCGCGCCGCAGCCGGCTGGCTCAGTACCCCCGCAACCCTAGATTATGTCCGACGTGGCGCCCACGCGGCGCCACCTCAGCGCCGGCAGTCAGCGGGGACGAGGACACAGAAAGCGAAGGGGGCCTGGCACACTAGCGCCCGGCGTGGCGGTACCTGGAGCCGCAGCCCACGGGCCTCAGCGGCCTTGACGCGCACGCAGCTCCGCCCAGTGCCGCTCGCGGTAGGGGCGGGACAGCTGAGCTGGCCCGAGCGGATTCGCCCAGGTTCGGCTGGGGGCGGAGCCTCCCCTCCTAGCTATGACTAGCTCCTCCCCGTCTCCCCGCCCCTGGGGCCCGCAGGAAATAGGGGCGGGCCCCGGGGCCTAGTGTGGCGGGAGGAGGAGCAGGGATGCGGTGGAGTGCAGAGTCCGGGAGGGCCTGACTGCGGGGGAATGAAGCCTCCGCCTTCTCGGGCAGGAGCTTTTAAATACGGGTTCGGCCCGGGACTCTGGGTGCAGTGCTTGGCAGCCTGAGGGAGGGGCGTGCAGTGAGGGGAGGTCAGGCGGAGCAGAGCGAGAGTGAAGAAGCTGCGGCAGCGCGGCGGGTAGCGAGGAGCTGTCCGAGCCGTCGGGATAGGAGGGGCCGCTGCGCTTGGTGTCTGGAAGTGGGTAAGCGCCTTGCCCGGGCTCGCCCCGCCGCCCCGTCGGGAAAGTCCCGGGTCCCGGCGGGATGTGCAGGGAGCGGGGCGGGGGAGTGCGCGCTGCTCTCGGTCGCGCTGTGCGCTCGGTCCAGGGCTCCCCAGTCTCAACGACCCTGGCCTCCTTTGGGCTCAGGGTGGGAATCGCCTTTTGGTCCTCTGCCCTGAGGATGGAATAGCTTGAGCTTTTTATTCTAGACTCGCGAGTCTTCCAGCCGCTTCTCTTTCTGCTTTTTCTCACTTTCTGGCTTGAAACAAATGAGATTTCCCCAGAAAGCCAAACGTCCACCTAAGGAAGTCGTCCTCTGGTTAGGGACCCCATTTTGATCTCAGAGTCATAGTCTTTTGTTTGTGTTTAGTCTGTTCACCTGGGGAGCTGCTTGCTTTCCTTCTGTCACTAGCCTTAAGAAACTACAATGAAAACGAAGCTAGAAAGCCCTTTTGAGGGCGAAATCCTATCTATCCCACGATAGACATTCTATCGTGACATCTGCATGGGCTGTCCTGGAATCCATTGTTGGCAGCCACACCGTATAGTTGCTTTATTTCATGTCGGGGAAGGCCTCCTTGGGTGCTTCAGGAGATCATGTTTGTGTGAGACCTTGAAAAATCATACTTCTTATATATAGGAAGATAGCTGACTAGGCTTGAATATTCTGGTATATAGAAAGGAGGGATTCACTGCTAGGGAGCTTTTCACGGATATACAGAGGAGTAGCTGTCCATTGACTGCCCTCAAAGACACAGTGAGTCTTTGAGTTTCTTCAAACCCCCTAAGAAATGGAGAACAGTAGTCTGGTCTGTTTCTTCAGGGAGGTTCTGGAAATGAAAGAGCTTACTGTCTGTTCTGAGATGTGCTTGTTAGTACCCAGCATCTAGTTTAAGGTAAGTGGTAGACAATCCTGATTGAAAGGATCGCCTTTCTTCTCCCATTGCTGTACTCCTTTCTGGGACATAAAATCTGTAACTAATAAGCATACTTTATCTTCCCTCTTATTACTTTCATAGCTTTATATGATGCCCTTTAGATACAATGTTAACATTGCCTTTCTCACTGAAGAAATATTTTTCTTGGGTCAGGCATCTGTTAGTACTTAATTTTTGGAAATGACTAAGGTTGATTGTGTGTGTGTGTGTGTGTGTGTGTGTGTGTGTGTGAAGTTGATGTATCCAACTATAACGTCCATTGCCTTAGCTACTGGATAATTATGCAGGGTATACTGAAGCGATTATATTCAGCGTAGATTGTAATAGGGACTTCGATATTTGTTAGCCACATCTTCTAGGTTGAAGTATTGATCTGAATTTATAAAATTTTAGGTGAAGAGTAGTTTTGGAACAGCCTAGTTTGTTGAGATTTTCCCAAAATACAGAGGTGAAAGCTCATTTCAAATTGATACATTCAGTAAGCAAACATTCCCATTTCCCTGACAGCACAACAGAAGGTCAGAAAGTACACAAAAGTAGAAATGGAATATGGAATCAGAAGACATCTGTGTCAGCCACAGTATATCACTAACACTGTATCAAGCTGCATAATAAAGTTTATTGAAGATTTTATTAAAACTTTCAAGTGACCATTAATGGAGACTTGCACAGATTCTACATCTAGCTTCTTTAGTAATTTCCCCATTGTCATCTACAAGCCATGCTTCATATGAAATAGCAATGCAGGGTAACCCAAAACACATGTAGTTCTATAATATAGGTCCATCAATAGTTTACCCCAGCTGCTATATGTAAGGCATGGTGAATACAGCCTGGCAATCAAGGTGGATAAGAAGTAACTCTGGAAAGGCATGAAATTCTACATAAAAAAGAGGATGATAGAATTCTGGACAATTTCAGCAAAGATACAATGATTAGCCATCTGAGCTAAAGCTATTCAGCTAACAGTCTTCATCTCAAACAGGCTCTCATGGAGAGCTACTCATTCATTCAGTTAGTATTTATTGAGAGCCTACTGTTCTAAGTGCTGAGGTAACAGCCACAGATAGGAACTGTTAGCCTAGGAGCATGTTATTAAACTGTGAGCTCCTTGAACCCAAGAGTTGCATCATGTAGACATTCAATCTATGTTTATATAATAATGTTAACAGAGCCTGTTCTGGTTGAGATTGAGGGCATAGGATGCCCTAATAACCTGTTGGCTATGGGATTAAATGGTAACCCCAAAACATCCTCTGGTCCAAAAATACTTTGAAATTCTTTTTGTGTATTCTAGATATACCGGTTGTGATAAGAGAGGCTGGCTAGCTGTTCAGTAAGGGAGTTACAGTGTGATAGTTCTTTAGGTTCATCACAGTTCAGAACTTGATCTTCTGCCTTGCATATCTGGAAGGTAGATTTATTTTTTCCTCCATGGACCCAGAGTTAATGAGGCTTTAGATGTTAATTTACAATGATTAAACTCATAAAAGACTAATGGATACACCAGAATGAAACTTTGGTATTAGAGTAGGGAAATTTTATTACAGTGCCTGGAATTCTTCTGTCCCAAATCTGGGTCACCCCTTGCTAGTGTTATCCTGGGAATCTGAATTCATAAGAGAGAGTGGAATCAGAGCAAAGAATCTAAGGAGAACATTCCATCCAGGCATTGGGAAAGCCTATTCTTGCCCCACCTCTGTGCAACCAGAACACTTCTGACTTCCAGATTCTGTGTCATTCTTCTCTAGACAGTGTTGAAATAAACACCACGTCATTCTTGTTCTTAACTCCCTCTTTCCAGGCTGCTGGCTGATCCTCCTTTTTATTTTCCTTCAGTGGAATTTATTAGATTTTAGCTGCACTAATGCCATTGATTGTCATGGCTACTTTCAACTATGTTACTTTAACTTGTTAAATTATAGTCTCCTTAATGTCATGGACATGCTTCCCTGAAAGGGGCACTCGAGACCCACTTTCAATTCATTTCTACCCTACGAGACAGTTATTACCTCTGGGGACCTGGCTGTCTTAGTTGGTAGAGCACGCAACTCTTGATCTCAGGGTTGTAAATTCAAGCCCCACGTTGGATGTAGAGATTACTTAAAGATAAAAAAAACTAGGGAGCCTGGATGGCTCAGTCAGTTAAGCATCTGACTTTGGCTCAGGTTGTGATCTCACGGTTCATGAGTTCGAGCCATCCATCTGGCTCTTTGCTGTCAGCACAGAGCCCACTTGGGATCCTCTGTCTCCCTCCCTATCTGCCCCTACCCTGCTCAGTGCGTGCTTCTCTCTCTAAAATAAATAATAAAAAATAAATAAAATTAAAGAGACAGTTATTACCTCTTACCACTTCTTAATACCCATATTTTTATCCAGCTAGGCAGATCTCACTTCTCTGGACTCCTTTCTGTATATGAGTCCTTATTTATTCCTTTTTTTTTCATCTGGAATGCCCTCCCCCACTTCCCATTTCTTTCTATATCCTACTTACTCTTTTTTTTTTTTAAGTTTTTATTTATTTATGTTGAGAGAGAGAGAGAGAGGAGGCAGGGGAGGGACAGAGAGAGGGAGAGAGAATCCCAAGCAGGCTCCACACTATCAGCACAGAGCCTGATGTGGGGCTGGAACTCATGAACCATGAGATCATGAAATCAAGAGCCAGATGCCCAACTGACTGAGCCACCCAGGTACCCCTCTCTCTTTTTTTTTTTTTTTTAATGTTTTTTAAATGTTTATCCATTTTTGAGAGAGAGAGAGAGAGGACACGTGCACACACACACACACACACACACACACCCTCCCCCACCCCCCCCACACACATGAGTGTGAGTAGGCGTAGAGAGAGAGGGAGACAGAAACCCAAGCCAACTAACTCCACTGTCAGCACAGAGCCCAGATCAGGGCTTGAACTCACAAACTGTGAGATCATGACCTGAGCCAAAATAAAGAGTCAGATACTTAATGACTGAGCCATCCTGGTGCCCACTATATCCTACTTACTCTTTAGGCCAAGCTTAGATTCTACATTTCCCTGATGTAGATACCTTCTTATTTTGATTCTCCCCCGCGCGCCCCCCCTGCTTTGGACTTTAGCATTCATTTTGTCATTTAATTGATTATACTGCCTCATATGTTACTTGGGTGCTATTAACTCCTTTTCATCTTTTTTTTTTTTTTTTTTAATTTTTTTTTTCAACGTTTATTTATTTTTGGGACAGAGAGAGACAGAGCATGAACGGGGGAGGGGCAGAGAGAGAGGGAGACACAGAATCAGAAACAGGCTCCAGTCTCCGAGCCATCAGCCCAGAGCCTGACGCAGGGCTCGAACTCCCGGACCGCGAGATCGTGACCTGGCTGAAGTCGGACGCTCAACCGACTGCGCCACCCAGGCGCCCCCTCCTTTTCATCTTTTAAGTCAGCTTAAGAG